AATAATATTTAAAAAAAACCTACCATATATTTGAGATAAGCTAAGTGTCAAAAATACATTTAAATTTTATTTTATTTTTGAGTTTGATACCTATTCTATTGAGAGTGTGAGTTTCATCTCTAAACTATCACTTATTAGTTTAAGAAAAAAAATATTTTTTTATAATTATTATCCCAAATTTAAATTTTATTTTAACAACTTAGCATTTCAAAGAGTTAGAAGAATAAACTTCGTAAAAAATATATTAATTTTTTTAATAAAAAAAGCTAAGGTATCTTTTTTTTTCTAACTAAAATCTTAAATTAATAGAAAAATCAAACACTTTTATTTATTTAGTAATTGATTGTGTCATCAACACTGCTACCACTCATTCATTTAGAATAAATAAAAAAATTAAAAATGAAATCACTAAAAAGGAAAGAAACTAATTAGTAAATAGTAAAACTAATTAGTAAATTGTAAAATTTATATTTATCTTCTAATGTGAGGTCTGCAACTCCACAAAGCACAAATGCTCCATCAGTCAATTCTTTTTTTTTTTTTACTTGAAAAGCTTTCTTGCCTTATTTTTTAATGATCCAGATTCTCTTCATTTAATGTTTTCTTCTAATTTCTTTTTTGTTGGGAAATTTTGAGATCAATTGGAATTTAAGGTAGAACTCTATTCCTACTTTAGTGGTGTAGATTTGGTGTACGTTAGCCCTAATAAGTTTGTATATCATTTTTTGTTGGCACAAGATATTAATAGAGGAAAACCATTTTCTTTACTCAAGAATTATCATGTCAAATTATCAAGAACGTAAAATTAATTAGGAAACTGTGCCTGAAATCATGAGGGCTACCAATTCTCCGTCTTGTGATTTTCGATCTTCTTAACCAAGATGTGATCCGCCCTCTTTTCCTAAAAATAAAAATATCGAGAAAACACTATGTCTGATTTGGAGACCAAAACCCTATAATTATAATAGCATAAAATTAATTTTTTTTGTTTAGCCCTTCTTTGAACTAGAAATTACAAACGGGTACTTACACATAAGACTTCATAGTTTATGAGGTGTCATTTAGACCCATTAACTTTAAACTTCTGAAGATCGCTTTCAATTTGGGTCAACCTTTGGCTGAAAGCAATCGAGATATAATTATTCATAATACAATATATGTGTAAGATCATAAAAAGTTCTAACAATCTCCTACTTCAACAACACGTGTGTGCGCATATATATATAACTTTTAAATTGTATGTCACTTTATGAACACAAAATATGGGATATCATAATGTGAAGTACTTCAAAACGTAACAAACTCCTCGATTCATCATGCTAATATTGAACCAAAATGACTTGTGTTACATGTCTCATAACTAATTCTTTTTTGATCACGAATACCAACATAACCAACTGACATCGATCGATTGAGTATGGATGTGAAACATAAAAATTACGTGCAATATGATCTAAGCACACATCTTTCCAATTGGTCCTACTGTAAAATAAATCAGGGTGAAAAATAAATTAAATACTTTATTTATGTCAAAATAACCTCGAAATCCTTAAACTGAAATCATAAACTAAAAATTAAAATGTGTCTACAGTCTACACATAAAGAACATTTAAAAGCTTACAAAGGGATTTCACCTCCTCAATAGTGTGTAATTGTTGTGACTGAATTGGAGGATGACCGAAAAGAGTTTCCATCGTCTAAAGATGGTATTATTATATGTATCATTGATACATAATTATACATCATATATACATGACCAATACCTTACAGGTATATGTGATCTTTTTTATCGTACAATATTGATACATACAATATATGTCATATATACACAATTATTTGATATTGATAAATTACATAATCTACTTATATAATGTATATGTGTTGTATAAACAATGCAATGGATGTATATACATTTAGATATGCACCATATATACATGATTATACACTATATATATAATATTTATATATTGCATGGTTACTTATACAATATTGATATATTACATGTACAACAATTATTTTTATTGAATTTTTTTTTGTCACATGTATGAAAGAGGTAGAAATTTGCTTCATTACGTTGTATTCATTTTTTCATACGAGGAATACCTTGAAAAGCCGTGTATATAATAGCAAGACTCACTATAAAAATGCAACTTCACCCGCAGTTTGTTTCCATTTAGACACGGTTCTTGTGTGTCTAAACCTTGCGGGTTTTTTTCCTTTTATATTATTTTTATGTAAAAAGAATATGACTACTTTTATTAGAAATTAATCAGTTTATTGTACATATATGAAATTGTCACAAAAAACAAAGCCAAAAGAAAAAAATAAAATAAATAAAAAAGAAGGTGTAATCAGGATCTTCTGGAAATCAAACTGCATTGTGTGGATAACTGTAAGACATCTTAGACCTCATTTGTTTTCATTAAGATTAAGACATCTAAATCTGAATGCACATCTGAATGATTAAGATCTTATCTGTAAATCTGAATACTAAATGATTATGATTGTTTGTTTTTAAACATCTGAATAAATAATGAACATGATACATTCAAATTATTTTAACAAATTTATAAATGCATCATCATTTGATTTCAAAATTTATGGAGTTGCTTTGCACTTTAATCAAATAAATATTTATGAAATTGCTTTTCACTTTAATCAAATTTAAAAAAAACCAATAATTTTTATCAATTCTTGATAAACAAGCAACAAAAACAAAAATTAAAATTTTAAGGGAAATAATTTAGATAACCAATTAAATTGGAGAATGAGAGAGACTTGAAATTTTTTATTTTTTTTGAAGAATAAAATATGGAGCATAATTTTTTTACGAAAATAAAGTGTCTATAAAAAAAGGTCTGAATAAAATAAGACTATGTCGCATGCCTGATCCATTTAGACCCATCAAGAGATTTTTAAGTAAAAACTAAAAAAGCAAATGCACTTAATGTCCTAATGTTTGAATCATTCAAATTCAGACCTACATTAAGAGCAAACAAATGACGTCTTAATAAGCAAAAATAAACTCGAGATACTCACTAAAGGAAAATTCCAAAAAATAATCTTAGAAGATATTGGTGTTTGACAAAGTTTTCAAAATAATAAACAAATAAGAAAGTTTTTATGATGGTGTATTTTGCTAAATTAATTTTAATTTATTAATAATATTTTAAAATTTAATGTTTGACTATGACTATTTTTTATATATTTATTTAATGCTAAGAATAATACGATTTCTTAATGATATAAACCTCTTTTGATTTCTTAAAATAAACAAGTAATAAGAAACACTATTTACTATAAGAGAGGGAATTAACATTTGGCAAGTTGGTTTTCATATTCATTGTATTCATCAACATAAATCACATAGAGAAACACATAAAATCCTTCGTTAATATCAAAACAACACCACTAAAATAACAATAATACCACATACCTACCTTGAAAATGCCATAATTTAATTTGCTTAATGAACTCTATCTCTCCAATTCCTCTATAAATACACAAAACATTATTAATCTTATATTTCCAAAGCATATATTATAATTGTAATTATAGAAAGAGAGAGGAAAAAAATGAGTGGTGTTGGTGTGGAGTCGATGGCACGATCAAATGGTGGAGCACGATGTGTTGGGATCGAAAATAACAAAGTGTCATGCAGAAGTATGGAGTCGATGGCACGATCAAATGATGGGGGGATTGGATTTCAAATGCCATTGCATTACCCAAAATATACAAAGGCTGAGTATGAGAGTATGGCAGAATGGAAGGTGGATTGTTTGCTTACTCAATATGGACTTCCAATTCATGGTGATGTAAACCATAAGAGGAAGTTTGCCATGGGAGCTTTTCTTTGGACCTATTAATTTCTTAGTATTAACGTACTCGTTGTACTTTTGATATTATGAGTTTAAAATTTTATTTCATGATATATATGTATTAGGTCATGTAGGATACGTGTCTACTTGTTCAATTTTATACAAGTTTAAGTGTCTAATTGTGCACTCCCAAAGTCGGAGGGCATAGTTATCAGTTGAAGTCAAGTTAAAGGTTATGTTTATGTATTATGCCTATATATATTGTGTCTCGTGTCCAAAGTGTAAAGTTTAGTTAAACCCGTTTTACATAGATTGCATCGGCCTCTAGTTGATTCTTGGCATTTTGAGCTGCTACACTCAAAATTGTTCTCGTAACATTAACAAGATGTGATGTTACAAGTCACGAATATATATATATATATTTACAAGCGAACAGGGCATTTCTATTGGTTTCATCTCAAACTATATATAGTTGAAAACTTATTTGTCTGTTTTGATAGACAAAAATAAGATAAGAGTAACCGATAGGAGAAGAATGGATGAGAGGATATAGATAGAATTGGGGATGAGAAGCATAATTTTTGCCTAAGCATAATCACAATATGCATAACCCTTTCTTTCTGATCCCCATTCATTTTTAACTCGTTGCTAATTGGGTCTGAATCACAAATCAACCTTTGTGAAGACCTTCTAGTCCTATTACCTTTTCTCGACCCAATAGCTACTTTAGCTGCTTGTGTAACATTTTAGCAAGTATCTACATCGGGTTGGGGTTGATTCATAACAGTTCTCCTTTAGAGAAAATTGCCGCCCAACACCTTTGGGTCATGTAGTTTACAAAATATGTACGCAAAATGCAGATAGTGTATACTTTATACTAATATACCTATAATATATATGCCTTACACAAATAAATTGGAATCATGCTCATTACTAATAACACAAGGCTATTTCATCCTTAATATATACATTAATACACTACTATGTATTCAATCTAAATTTTTTATTGAAATTGTTCCCTTTCCTTGAAAGGAAGTGTTGGCGTAGCTACTACAATTGTTAGTTGTTGTCATGTGATCAGGAGGTCATAGGTTTGAATTGTGGAAATAATGTATTGTAGAATGCAGGATAAGACTGTGTACAATAGATCCTTATGGTCTGACTCTTACTTTACACGCATGGTTATCCCTTTCCATATGTAACAGCTAATTGGCTATCTGAATAACCAATTTTCAATCTTGGAACAGACATCTTGTTCTTATCTTGCATTCTATTCCTGTAAACGTTAACGATCAATGCTATCGCAGCAATTCTTGTCGTACGATACCAATTCCATGGATTAAATAAACTTTTTATGCAAATGACCAAAAAACTTGAACTTTTCTTCTTTTCTTTCTCATCTTTACTCTGTTTCTGTTCTGTTTTTGCCAAATTCTCAGAAAATGATAATGCATCTTTAATTCCTTTGCCAAAATATTCTTTTAGTTCCTCAATCACTTCTAGTTTCTTTCCCCATGTTGGATACTTATTTAATTTGTCTATCAGTACCATTCTACTTGCTTCCAAACGGACAAGCGCGCCATTGTGATGTCTCTGCTGTCGAGACTCTAATGCCTGCGTTGCACAAGTAAAAATTAATTGGTTACCATTGTGGCGCATGCAGGATTTTACGCAAGCAGTGTCGATCTATGTGTCCCAAAGTTGATAGTATTTACTTGGTAAAAGATAGCTCATGTAAATAGATAGTGAATATACTTTGTTTACTTGCATATTTTACGGAGCTAAAATTTTAATTTTATAAGTTCTATATTCTAGGATAGTGACATCAGGTGTTAATAACTAGGTTTTGAGTTTAACTTTTGTATATATTAAGTGGATTTCTTAATATTAATATAGAGTTAAAACTAAGACTATTGTGTTCGACTTAACATATACCTAACCTTCTAGCTCCGTCCCATAACATGAGAACATTCATTTTGATAAATTGGTGATCGCAATAAGACTCAAACCCATGAAGACTTATATATTGAGTCGTGTATGACCATCTCAGCTAAAATCATAAATCGTTAGTAATTGATTATGCCACTCATTCATTTAGAATAAATAAACAAAAATTTAAAAACGAAAGGAACTAATTAGTAAAACCTGGTAGAACTGGAGCATGTTCTGAAGATCCTTTAATGAGTCTTGAATGCCAATCAATTTCTCCTTATCTTCCATTGTGAGTTCTTCAATTCCGCAATAACGACCATGTTCAGCACAGTGTGTACAGAAATTAATTTCTTCACGACGAATTCTATCACTAATCTCATCATATAAAACCTCTGTTCTCTCACTAAGATTATGCAAATCTTTATAAGTATTATTCATCTTTATATATCATATAGTACAAATGCAGCATCAATCAATTCATTTTATACTTGAAAAGGTTACCTTGCCTTTGCTTTTTAAAATTCTGTTTATTTCATGTTTTGTTTTTTGTTTGGGAAATTTTAGAGATCACTTGGAATGTAAGGTATAGCTCTGTTCTTACTTTAGTGGTCTGGATTTGGTGTACTTTAGCCTAATCATTCTGTGTTTTCTCTGTCTCAATTTGGCTGTCTTACTTTTTTAATTTTAACTTTCCGTTAAAACCATATAATGAAAGTACATTTTAGTACATTTGACATATCTTTAATTTAAAATTACGAGATTCAAAAGTTCTTTTTTTTACTTAATTAAACTTTATGTCAAGTCAAAATATGACAAATAAATTGAAACGAATAGAGTAGTATTATTGTCTTCTTTTTTAGCATGTGGTAATCCTTTCATAGCAAGTTTTGTCTGCTGCTGAAACCTTTAGCTGTTCACTGTCCCACACGTTCTCGTATTCGCACTCAATATTTTGTGAAGGGATAGGGGTAGAGTTGTACTTCGGCTTCAATTTCGGCTGAACTCACTAGCTTTGTTTTTGTATTATAATATTTATTAAACACGCATGTACAAATTATTTATTAAAAAATTAATAATTTTAAATGACTAAAATTTTGAATTTATAAGCTTCAAATCGTGGGTCTTTGTCATTTACATATGCAATAGTTTTGGCTCTAACTGATCTTTATCTTAAAAACTTATTTAATATGTACAAGTTATAAATTCATAAGAGCAAAAACAACTAAATAACTACATCTCAATTTCAAGTGAGTCAAAATCAATTATATGAATCTTCATCATCGAAAGGTTTGCTAACGTCGTGATTAACTAAAGTTACGTTGCTACACTAGGCTTGCTTGCTGTTATTTCTTTATCGCAGTTTAACATTATATACTTTAGTATATTACAAAAAGAAAATAAATAGAAGTTTGGATTGTAGTTGCAGAATTAGCAACAAGAAAAAGAAAATGGAAATCATTGTGACTCACGTTGGTAAAAAATAAAAAAAAAGTGGATTCTTTGACAACTTATCAGATAAAGAATTTGATTTTCATCTCTTTTCACTCACTTTTTAACTGTCAGCAAGCTCAGGATCCAAGCAAAGGATCAACAACACTAATACTCCTAGACATTCTATCATGTAAGCAATGGTCCTTTCGGAGACATCCGAAATAATTGGAACGATACAAAGAAGAGAAAAGTCAGACAATGAATAAAACCCCAAAGCTAGATGGTTTAAGTACCCAAAGAATCGGACCATAGTAATAAGAGAACCTAGGTTTGAATTCCAGCAAAGACAAGCTAGGTGATTTCTGCTGAAACTTTGGTTGTAGATGCACACAAACTAACTCGGACATATCACCGAATACACTCAAAGAAATGGAGGGAAGCAATTATATCCAGGCTGAACTATAGTTATCCGTAATAATAAACACGATAGAATTTACAAAAAAGGTTTTTGAAGTATGGAAATATTTACACTAATAGATAGTCGAACCAAAAGAAACAATCCAAAACCAGATAAATACGCTTCCCACACATGTTCAAAATTCTAATATTAGCATTCATACATAAAGAAATTCAAAGCATCATCGTTCTTCCTGTAGAGGAGCAACGCCTAATGCTATTCTACACATAGTTAATGGAGAATAGAGAAGATAAAACATTTGAAGTTTGTTTTTGTTTATATCAATTCAAGCCATCATAAGGTTAAATGTTTTAACCCATAGCATACTTCTGGGTCCAACTCCTGGCGGTTCCTTCGTATTTGGACTTGTCTGTCTTGTACATGTGAGCAATCTCAGGAACCAAGGGGTCGTCAGGGTTTGGGTCCGTCAAAAGTGAGCAAATTGAAAGCAAAACCTGAAATGTAATCCAGAATCCTTTCCCACCTTAAGAAACATAAATAACACAACATGCTTCGCAAAACACAAACCAGTTTTGACTGGTCTTGGAAAGCCATTTAACAGAATTCATAATTTCAGAAAAAACAAATGATGCTACTAGCAGAGAATCGGGGACAAGATCTTATCCTATGCTACCGAAATCAGAGTGTTTTACGAAGGACACTGTTAAAATGTTTTCATCATTGCTCCCTAAAGCTATTAAGGAATAATATTAGGTCACCTATTATCTATGATGCCCAATTAAATGATCTTTCCCTTTTAAAGTGTTGATCCTTCAGATTATACACAATTAGCTAATGAATCAAAATTGATTTGAAAAGGCACTTATATCATGAAGGTCCCAAGCCTCGGAATAGGTATGTTTTCATAGCTTGTATTATTTCTCAGCAGATAAAGGTAAGAAAGGACCTTGGAAATAGTTAAGGCAGGGCTCCACTGCTCCTTCAGTATGTCCAAGCATATACTCCCATTACTATTGATATTTGGATGGAAAACTTTTGTCCTAAAAGCAACCTGCAAGGATTTAACGAATAAACGTCACACAATAAAGTCTAGAGGGAAACTGCAATTTATAAACTGATGCACATGAATTTACATACTCAGGTTCACCAACTAAAGGTTTACAAGAGAAACAGTTTGTTTGACATGAAAAGTTTCCAAATAGCCCTATCAACAACCATGCCTCTATATAGACTAGTGTGGTCGCTATCTGAATCCTCAATAACCACTTGCTCCAAATAGATCTATGTATTTCTTTTTCCTTTTTCTTTCTTGTGTGTGAGTATCAGTATGTGTGTATAAAACATACATGAGTCATGTAGATCCACCTAGCCTAGTTGATATTGATCATGGATCAGCAAATCAGCACATTTGAAATCTTGTCGAGAATTTTTTTCTGCAAGAAATCCGTGTTTTGAACCAGACTGACCAACTTGATTCTAAAGAATCTGAACTCTCAACCCTCCCCAAAGAGAATCCTATTCATTCTTTCTATAAATGATGTAAAAGTATGGATAGTCCAAGGCACTATTAAAAATAAAAATGGGGAGATGAAATCGTAATTCCTCCTTAATCACCTTGTCTGGACCAAAAGGTACAAAGACAAACATTGTGTGACATGCTGATATAAGTAGCATAACACCAACCATTCAAAAAACATACTCGTACTTTTATCTCTGCGTTAGACTAAAATGTTGAAAATTTGTTTCTCATGCAAGGTGACAGTCCAACAAACAAGCATAGAAAATAAAGCCAGAGAAGGCTCCACTACTCACACATGATCAGTTAACAGCAAAAATCAACTTCTCTTCTTGATCGCAATGCCTCAAAAGTATGCACCACAACTACAAGCTCATTACTAGGAGATCTATATGAACATCATTAAAAATACTCTAATAGAAAACAGTCAAAAAAAAAAAAAAAAAAACTAGGTTCCAATATGCAAAACCAAATAAGAAGGCATCTGCAAATAGAATAGTCACCAGCAGAGACATCATTAATTCAAAGTAATTTGCAACTGTAAGATACCTTAGGAGGTTTGAATGGATAATCCGGAGGAAAATGGATAGTGACCAAAAAAACACCCCCAGCATAAGGGCTATCAGAGGGGCCCATTATTGTAGCCTGCCAGTGAAACATGTCCTCTCCAACAGGGCCTGTTAACACATGATATAAAGTTGTTAGGAAGTCAATGCCAAAGAATAACATAGCATGTACATCTTACAGATGTAGGAATATGTGCGCAACATCTTGATGAAGAATAGTGAAAATGCCCTCTCACAATAATTCAAACTAGTATTGTCAAATCCCGATGTATATCATGTATCAAGATAGTCAAGCATGGATCATACTGTACACAGAAGCTAATTAAAAGAAATGCATGCACATACACTATCATGTTTATATATAATCCTCCAGTCGTAAAAATAAGCTAGAGATCCTCTTTTTAAAGGTAAGATAGCTACAACTTTTGTTTTGATGACCAGGTAAACTGTTAAGGGCCAATCATTGCAACCTTAAAATCACCTAGTGTTTTTTTCCTCTGGCTAGGAATTAAACCTGAGACTCATGGTTCTCAATCCACTTTAATGAACTCTAGGCCACACCCTTGGGTGCCTAGTGAAAAAACAAAAAAGAAACCAAACTATGTCTATCCTTAAAAAGGTAACATAGTTACTATACTACTCCCCATGTCCCATGTTAGTTGAACACTTACCTTTTTACACGCATATTAAGAAATCATAAATAAGAAGATAGTGTTTACTAATTCACCCCTTAAAAAAACTTCTTGAAAATTTTACAAACAAATGTGAACACTTTCAAAATGAATTAGTTGCAAGGGTAATATAGGAAAAAATTTAATTAATGCTTTCTTGATTTAGTAAGGTGGACAACTAATATGGGACAATTATTTTTGGTAAGATGATCAACTAATATGGAACGAAGGGAGTATAAGTTATAACACCATAATACAACAAGGGAGTTTGATTCACTAAGACGCCGTTTGGTTCAAAGACAAAATATGCAGGGAGTAAGTTGAGGTTATTTCTTGTTGGATATTTCCAAGGAAAAGGAAAAAAAATATGAAGAGTGGGATGGAAATTTGTCATTTTTTAATCTTATATTACTAATATTCATATTTTCTTTCATAACCTAGTGTCTAGGCCAACTTTCGCACACCTCGACTAATTCCACGGGCACCCACCAGCACAGGTATCAGTTAACTCTATCACCAAAGCTTGGACAGATTGAAAAAATCACCTAGTGCTTTTTTCCTCCGGCTAGGAATTAAACCTGAGACGCATGGTTCTCAATCCACTTTAATGAACTCTAGGCCACACCCTTGGGTGCCTAGTGAAAAAACAAAAAAGAAACCAAACTATGTCTATAGAGTACAGAGTTTAATGCGGAGATTAAATCTCTTTTTCCTTTCAACAAACAGCCTGTTAAGTATATAATTAAGCTCATAAGACGTGCATTTCTGAGGCTTGTATCGAATTGTATCATAAGATAACTACAAAAAAATTATGAATGTCATGGAATGTAAAACACATAATTATTTCCATGGGGAAGACAACATGGAAGTTGAAAAGCATCACACTACAGACAGACTAGAAGGATTATAATTAGCACATGACTACCATGACAATGTAGACAAAGTAAACATCTCTGTAAGGATTCAATGCAAATAACATGATTCTAAAAAGAAGTCAAAGGTTTGGACATAATGACATTAGAAAAACCATCACAAAGAAATGTGAAGAATGAAATGACGAGCCATATAACCAATAAGTCTAATCATTTTAAAAATTAATCCGGTCACCTGCATAAGCTCTGTATGAGAACCCATTAGACAAAATCCAGACATGTATAAAACTTTTTGTGATAGGATTCTTCTCTTTATGCAAGTATTTAGTTGTAGTTTGTAAAAATAACTATAATATATTTCTATAAGAAAATACTACTTATCAAAAAAGATAAGAATATTGGAAGAGTAACTACACACCTACATATAGACAAAATGAAATCACTTCAAACAACTTTTCTATTCTCTATGGAAATCAGAGAGTGCATTGTGCAATATTATGCTCCTCCGCAGTCCGCACAACAAAAAGCTCTTATCCAGAAAATATTCTAAAAACGAGAGCCAATATTTGTACGTCACTCACTGATCATTGAAGCCCACTTGTATGTACACCAAAACTATAACACTGGAAATGCTCTTGTACTTTTAGATGTTCAACAAGTTTGCACAAGTGATAATTTAGCAGATATTTTCACTAAGGCATAGTCAACTTCAATATTTGACAAGCTGATACACAAGATTGGAATGTGCCGTCTTCAAGACATTAAGTGATGATTTCATCGGAGGAGTAAAATGCGTGATGCACTCTTTTTCCCTCAACCAAAGTTTTCATCCTATTGGATTTTCCTCGTAAGATTTTTAATGAGGCAGCAAGAAAGGTATATTATGAATAACTGTGTAAAGTTTTTCTATCACTAGAAATTTTTCCACATGGACATCCTGAAAGTGCTGTGAATAGATTAAGTGGATGCCCATTTCCACCGTAGCAAGCATGACTCTCCAAGTTACTATACATTCTGAGGCTTATAAATAGCCATGTATAATATATAGAATAATACACTCAAAAAAAGGAAAAGAAAAGTTACTACTTCTTTTATTTTTCTCCCTGTACTTGCTATTTTTTATTTTTTATTTTATAACATGTTACCAACACGAGGCTCTAACCAAATATTTTATCTCCGCCAAAGTTAAGTCTTATTAAGGTATGCGCCACATTCATTTATTGCATGAGGCTCTAACCAAATATTATATCCCCGCCAAAGGTAAGTCTTATTAAGGTATGTGCTACTACATTCATTTATTTTTGACAAATCAAGAATTTGTTATAAAATACAAGCAAGAAGTAGTAACTTTTATTTGCCTTTATAGAATGCATTATTCCATCTATTATATATGGCTATTTATAAACCTCAAATATGTAGTTACTTGGGTAGTCATGCTTGCTAGAGTGGAAGTGGGCCACTGGGCATCCACTAGATCAATTCACAACATAACAGTATATTTGTCCCTTTTTCAAATTTTAAAAGTGTTTTGGACGGCAAGAGGCGACAAAAGGCGACAAGGGCCTTCCTCGCCACGCAGCGAGGCGAGCGGCGAGGCGCTCGCCTTTTTGAATCGCGGCGCCAATTAATACCAAAAATTAAAAATATTTAATTGCATATATAAATATCCAAAATCTCAATAACAATAACATATATTAGCAAATATTTCAATTCAAAAGCATAACCCTAACAAGATAAGAGATTTAGGTTAATGAGTATAAATAAGTCAAATATTTTATTTTATTTTAAAATGTAGGCAGTGGGCAGTGGCTTCAGTTCTTCAGAAATTAGACTTCACAATAAAAAACAGAGGGACTGAGAGAGTACTAAAAACAGAGGGACTGAGAGAGTACTAAAAACAGAGCAAAAGAAGAGAAGAGAGATTGATTCGAGAACAGAAGAGAAGAGAAAAGTCACGACTCACGTAAGAGAAGAGAGAACTCGCAGCAGCAGCAGTCGCGACTCGCAGCAGCAGCAGTCGCGACTCGCAGCAGCAGCAGTCGTCGCGAACTCTAATTCCAGTCGAGGTATTGATTTCAAGTTTCCAGTCGCGAAATGAGAAGGAGCAGTCGCAACATCAAGTTTGAAAAAATACCCAAAAAAACCCTAATTTGGCTTTTAATTATTAAAATTCAGACTTTTAAAAAAAAAATCAAAAAGGCGATGCCTATTGCATCGCCATTCCACGTCACCGAGTCGCCTTGGCTCACCTTTTTGACCTCGCCGGAAATAGGCGCAGACCCCTCGCCACGCCACGCCTCGTCGCCAAAGGCGAAAGGCGCTCGCCTTTAAGAACACTGGGTCTACATGCTTGATTTGACATGAAATACTTTAATCCAAATAATTATTGTTCGTGTTTTATTGTTATTTCTTGCATTTCATACATATCTTTTACTTTTACATTTTCTTCATTAAAGCCTTTTAGGCCACATTTCCTTGTGATTTAAACTTAAAAGCCCTTATAGACCTTAATGATGTATTACCCTTTTCGCCTTTCACAATTTCTGAAACTCTCAGTTTTAAGCCAATTTTCAATGGCTCTTGGGTTAAAACTAGCCCTTTGAAGTTCTCTAGTGCAATAAACAAGCATTGTTGGGACAACTCTTACCCTATCGCAATAACAGATTTGGGTTTTAGTTTGGAGGTTATTCCTAAGGTACATATGAAATGAATCTGAAGAAAAACAAGTTGGTGGGACAAGATTTGAGTGGTGAAATCATATCCACCATTGATGAACAATGAAGCTTTGGAGTTTAATTATTTAGTGGGTCGGGGTGGGCAGGTTAAAAAGGTGACCTGATTTATCTGAGGGAAAAATACCTCGGAGCTGAGGGAAATACTATACAAGTAAAGGACAGTCATGATTTATTAAAATTGAATAACCAATTATTTTATAATAAATATTATATCTAAACACATCGTTAATAATATATATATCCCAACAAAAATTCCCTCTCATTTGTGCTTGAGCCATGACTCATTATACTCCCACAGGATTTTATGTCAGAAACATCTCCATTGCAATTGGAAATCAATTAAAACTTAAAAAGTTAAGGCTCCAACGTTTGAATCCTCTATTTTGCGCATCACAGAAGACTTAAGCGGATATTCAATGCAAATGCCATTTGTGCTATGCACAATAGAGGGAAATGAATGAAGTGATAATTGTCAAAGAACAACATTTTAGTCAAAGAGCTAACATAGTTTCAAATAAGTATACGCAAAATTGCACAATGAAGTTGGAATGGACCACGAGAGTCTAGCATTCAAACCCACCAAAGTTAAAATTGTACTGAACAAAACATAGCAAACCCATGTTTCACCAGAGTTACTCTGTATGTGAATTAATCCAGCTGTGCAAGGCGGGACAAACATTACTCACAAATAACAAATCAAGCTACGCATTTGACCAGTCATCAAATCTAGCTATATATCTTTGACTTCACAATGAACCATTAATATAATCAAGCAAAGCACAACCCTAAAATCAAACAAAAAATAATCTCAACCAAGGTAAAAAAAAAATGAAATTTGAGTTTCTAAACCATGGATCAACCACCAAACAAGGTAAAAATCAAAACTTTACACAAATATATGAGCATAAAAAAAAAGTCAAATGACAAATTAGAACAAGAGGAAAGAAAGGATACACACCAGCGCTGCATGAAGTAGGAGGATCTTTCTGGAGATCCTTCAGCTCCTTCAATATTCGTTTCGAAGCCATCAAAATCCAAACAAATCTGAATCTAATCTCATCCAAAAAAAAAATTTTAAAAAAATCAAAATTCAACACAAAACAACAAGAAATCCTGATAAACATATACAGATAAAGGCATGAATTACCTGATCAGAAAATCGGAAAAGCTGCTGAATCTTTACACGAAACTAGTAGATGAAATTGGATTGAGGAATATATCACTTTTTTTTTTCTTTTTATTTGCAGCTGTTTTCTTCGTTTTTTATTTCTTTATTATATTCAATGGTTCTGGCTGCCCCTAGTTTGAGCCCCACCGGAAGTACTGTGTGATTGGGATTTTGGGGTGCTTCTCATGGCCCCACACTTCAGTGTTATCCATAATTTACATATTTTTAGGAGTTCGCGAACAAAGTTATTTCGAAATTATAATTGTGAAATTAATTTATTTTATGTCAGTGGTGAGATAGAATGATATCAAGTTAAAAGGAATAAGGTGTGATATTCAAAAATAAATTTTATCCTGTTTAGTTGAAGGTATAAGTCTATCACATGTTTTTTTTTTAGGTAACTAACGTTTTTATTAATCACCTGTGAAAGCATTACAAAATAGTTGTCCAACTCAGTCATCTTAGTCTATCCAGCAACCACATTACACCTCTAACTCAAAGCCTAACAACATCTCCTAGTTACAATAACCATGTTTATATAAGGGGCATAACACTTGGGGTAGCTCTAACATTGCAAATATAAGCTACTCTTTTTACAATCAGATCAGGCTCTATAGCTTTTTGTTCAAACACCCTTTGATTTATTTCATTCCAAAGTGCATAGACTTATATTTTTATCAAACAGAGTATAATTTTAATTTCAAATGTAATTTTGACATATCTCACCTAATCCTACTGAGGTTGGATTTTTATTTTTTTTTAAATTGCAAACCAACCTCTAGAGATTGATTTTTGCGGGGAAAAAACTATTTTTTTTAAAGAAAAGGACCTCGAGAGGTCGATTTGCATTTTCTCAATCTTTTTTATGTTGAATCGTCAATTATTAAAGGTCAGGTTTTAAAAATAATTGATCGTAAGACCCGATCCAAACTCAAGATCCAATCCAACCATAATGCAGGACTCGAGACCTAACCCTGATATTGATCCAAAACTCAATTTTTGACCTCGACTCGATCGTGACTTGTGATTTGATATTTTGGGACCCAACACTAGATTTCGATCCTAACATGGGACCCCAAGCTCCAATTTTGACTCAAAATCTAAGACTCGAGACTTAAGATACAATTTCCGACCCTTACTTGGGATTCGAGCATAAACTTGATCCTTACTAGAGAATTGAGAACTAAGCCTATCTTGTAACTCGAGATCTAATCCTGACCTTGACCCGAGATTTGATTTCAACCCAACCCTAAATCGAGACTAGAGATTCAAAAACTTGAGACCAAATATCGCGATCCGAGCACAACCCACAAAAAGATAATTAAAGTGAATCTACTAAATTCAAATTATTATAAATCTTAAATATGGGCTAGAATTGCATTGGTGTTGAGCTAAGTAGTATTAGAGATTGTTTCGTAGAGTGTATTAGATGAAATAATGCATGTATTACCTTTGTGTATTAGTAGTACTTTATTTGATATATCTTTCAACCAATGTAAGTATTAGTTATACACTCTATTGTATATCGAAGTGTGTATTACTAATATATGAAAATTCATGGTTTTAGTAATGCATGGAGTTTTATCCTTCGGGGTGTCCTAGTGGTTTGAGCTTGGGACTTCCATGTTGGAGGTCTCAACTTCGAAAGCAAGAGGTTTGCCTTCTGGGTCAAGCTCATCGCATCGGGCGTGCCTAGTGCGGGTTACTTCTCTTATGTAATTTATGAGCTATTGCATAAGAGCGGGGGGTTTACCTTGTGCGCACCCAAAGAGTAGCGATTGCGGGTTTTCCTCGTCATAAAAAAAAACAAAGTAATGCGGGAAGTTTTAATACATGTATTAGCATGATTAAATACTTAATTGTCCCTCAAAAGTCAAAACATTGTTTACATCTTCCACTATGTTTGAGAGGTCTCTTTGTAAATAAATATATTTGAAAAATATTATACAATGCATGTTATCTTATTTTTAATATTCCAAATCAAATAATGCAGAAGAAATAACTTTTGCATAATTAATGCGAACACTTTTCCAAGCATTTCTAATACAAATATTATCAGCACAATTTATTTAATATTATTCTTATATATCCTACCAAATAAGTCATAATGTCATTTAGTTTTACTCATCGACATTAGTTGACGAGAAACTTAAATCAAACTTTGTTTTGAGGAAACAAATATCAAAGATTGACCAAGAATTAAGGAACAAAGCATTTAGAGTTTTGTGAAGCCTTCTATAAGGAATGTAAATCTATTTACCAAGAATAACCAAGTACCAAGATATTTTATTGAAGCAACAAATGCCAAAAATTAAATGGAGATAATATTTTTTTTAAAAAAAAACAACGAAATCAAGCACCAAGAATCTACTTGCAAATGAAGCAAAGGATTTGTTACTACTCCCATCGTACAACAATATTGGTCCATTATACTATTTTGAAATGTTCAACAATACGTGTTTGCTTTATGAAATTAATGGATAATTTTACATTTAATTCTTAATTTACCTTTATCATTAATTATAATCATTTCTCTATTACATTTTCAAGATATTGTATTTATTACTCCCTTCATTTCTTTTTATATGTCACATTTTTAATTTGCAGTTACATTAAGAAATTAAGTAACTTTACCCTTCTATTTAATGTTTTCTTAAGTCAACTTTATAATAAATGATAAATATGTTATATTTCAAAAATTAAATGCATTTGGACAACTATTTAAATTTTTTAGTTTATTTTTTAAGCCAAAATATTTCACCACTTGATCCAAAAAATTTAAAAATTAAATTTTTCCCACTTCATTTTCCTATATATTTTGTGTAAAAATGTTTTAATTTGTTTGCTGATATTTCTTTTTCAAAATTAGATTTTTTTAAATAGTGAATGGAAAAAGAAGTTAATGTATGAAGTACTCCAATGAATATTAATTACTTATAGATTTTCTAGGTTAGTCAAAGTATATATTTTCAAGAATAATTAACTACTCTATCAATGATATAATGGGAAGAATATGGTAATTTATGTATTGATTTTATAAAATGACAAATATTATGGTCCAACTATTTATAGAAAGGAATAACATATAAAAAGAAATAGAGGGAGTATATTCAAAGAGTGATATAGTAAAATTACTCTTTTATTTATAGTTTTTTAAGAAGTGTGCAAAGTCAATAATAGACAAATATTATTAGACAGAGGAAGTATATAGTTGTAGAAAATACACTCAACTCTGTACAAGAACAAATTCAAAGAACAAGAAGAGAACACTTTCACAGTTCAAAGGTACTTGACTCGGATATCACTTATAAAATATGCTATATTGGATCGAGTTAAAATCAACCTAATACAAAATTATCTTACACCTAACTTATACCATGTCCATTGGAGCCTGATCAAATTCGAATTCACATTGATCCCACATTGAGGGGTAAAGCGCTCCATAACAAAAGTAACTCCGTACACATGGACTCGAACCCGAGACGAAGGATAATATGTTTAGCACTAGCTAAGGCTTAATAACTAACAAACAAACACCAAATACATCACAAAGATCACTTGTTGACTGCTCCATACACATCCAAGCCAAACTCTTTTCAATCAGTCAAGTTTCTAATGTGGCTAACATTACCAATTTACATAAGACCATCATGCAACATGGCACTCTGAAGTGAAGGGACCAAAAAAACACTCCTCAGCTTCATCCATGGATAAATTACAATTAGGCGAAATTAGAATTTCTTAAGCTCCTCTGTACTGTTAAATTTCTTATACTTTTATCATCTCAAAGTAGGCACCACACCGCCACGGTCATTACTATTAGTCGATGATCATCTAGCAGCCACGGCATGATCAGTCCTGGGACTGGCATCAAGGAGTTGATGAAGCTTTGCTCCAGAGGTACTATCATGAACTTCACCGTCTTCGTTGGTTCTATTGAATGAACCATTGTTGTTGTTGACTCTTGCTAGTAGGTCTGCTGTGCTAACAGGCTTCAGCCTTTTATCATCAATCATACCTAAAGTTACCTCTTTTGCTTGTCCTTGCTTGTTTTTCAGTCTCTCCTGCATAATCAAGACCATACTCGGTAAAGCCCAAACAACGATAATACATAAGACTATATAACCGAGAGACAAATTCATACCATTAAAGCAGCATTTTCAACCTTTAGTTTCTCAGAGTTTTCGGTGAATTTGTTTATTTCTAATCTGAGTGCCAAATTTTCAGAGGTTAAAGATTGAACCTGCACTGCCAATTCTTCAGCTTCCGCCTGGAGGGAGGAGGGGGGAAAAGAAAGTACTAAGTATCAGAAATAATATGTACAAACAGTAAATTAAATATACTCCATATATTAAGATTAAATCAGCATTGAAATATTCATAATGTGCACATTTCCATCTTACCTGTTTTCTCAACCTTGATCTCCTTGCAGATTCTCGATTAGACTGCTTCCTCTTTTCCCGCTTCAGCTCACGTTCATTCTGAATATATAGATGCATTTGACAATTAGAAACTTAGATTTTACATAATAAACAGAGTTCTCGTCAAGTTCATACACTAAAACAGACGTTGCAGACACCCATCGTCACGTCAAAATAAGCAAAAGCAAAGTTCACCTGATACATGCACATACCTGTAACCAGACTTCGCCTGGCACTGCAGGACTGATTTGTGAAGTTGGACTAGATTTTACTAGTGGAGTAGTAGTCATGATAGGAGAAAATGCTGTTCCCGCTAATTTTTCTGCTATATTACCAGGATTAACAGCTACACCAATTCCCTTCTCTGAGGCCCCATTTACTTCCCTAGTGCGTTGTGGACTGCACAGTCTTTGACTTTTTCTGTCACCAGCTGCAATAGATTTTGAAAAGATAAAATCAGGTAAACTGCTTTCAGGCTCGGCTTTTCTCACTTTTGTATACCTCCAATAAATGCATCATCTAGTAATAATGTTGAAGCAATCAAGTGTACCAAGTTTGAGAAACGGATACTTCTAACCATTATAGTGCCCAGAAATCAGAATGACAAATACCTTACTCATTTAATGACGGGAAAAAGAAAGGCAAATCATCTAGTCCAACTCTTTTACCAGTAATATAGCCAAATATTTCAATAATAATAGAGAAATTTTGAAAAAAGAACCAGGAGTAGATTGAAAACTAAGTTTATAGGAGAAGAGTACGGACGGCTCTAATGTACCCAATTCGAGCATTTCCTTTAAAGGTTAAAGCTGCAATATCACAAGCTTCAAGAGTGTTTTATCTATTAAGCAAGGCATAATACATAAACAGACACTCAAACTTGACCTCAACTGGCAAGTAAGCACTCCAACTTTGAGAGTGCACATTTGGACACTTCAACTTGGTCCCAATTGACAACTGAACACTCCAACTCGTCCCCATCATGGACACCCGATGCTGACATGGCGCATAAACTTTGGAGGTGTCTTGATGATCATTTTATAAGTTGGAGTGTTCAACTAACACAGTGGAGACGAGTTGAGGTGTCTACATGTGTTTACTCAAAGTTGGAGTGTTTAATTGCCAGCTGAGGCAAAGTTAAAGTGTCTATTATGTATCATGCCATTAAGCAATTAACACAAGTTCTTTTGTTGCATGCACCTGACACCACCCTCAAAGGTCTTAAGCTCATGACCTTACAACACTTGACGGTTGACAGTAACATCAACAAATATGGAAGCGGAAACGAGAATTCACTTAAAAGCAAGAACCCTTGAAGTTCATACTGGAGAAACTGGAGAGTTCACAACTATGCAAATCCTATAACTATTGAAATTTGAATAGGAAGTGAGAAAGAGACCAAACTCTTACAGTTATTAGGAGTTGCCTCGCGGCTTCTTTTCTTACTGTGCTCACCAACCTAGAGTATGAGGAGAAAGTATAAGCAGCAATAGCCCTTTAACCAAAACAAATAAAAAAAATTGAGACAAACGGATTTAAAGTTCGAGGATCACACCTCTGCTGTGTGTATGTTACTTCCATCACTTGAACCTTCAGTTTGCCCACTGTAATGGCATGAAACTAACAATCAGTCAATACCCAATATCTTTAACAGGATTAAAGAAGTGGTCTCCAGAATGTAAGGACCACTCATTGCAGATATTCTACTCCCTCCGTTTCAATTTGTTTGCCTTACTTTCCATTTTAGTCTGTTTCAAATTAAATGTTATTTAATCTTGTTTACTTTCTTAAATCCGTATCAAGTCAAAACCAGACAAACAAATTGAAACGAATGGAGTATCTACAACTGAGTCGCGTATGGTTCGTAAACAACTGAATATGATGCATGAACTGGTTTCACACGAACCTCTGAGAAGGTCCATGGTCAGTGCCATCACCATTGTCAACACTGAAATTTCCAATTGACATTCCAAGCCCATTAAACCCTTTTGACTGACTCATCAAGCCTTGATCAGAGTTCCCCGAAGACTTAGCAGAAGCATCCATACTCAAAGAAGCAGTATTCTACACAATGTAGAGTGATTTAGCTTCAATCCCACCATTAGGTACTAGTATACTACGTTGAGCTTAAAAGGAACATAATCTGTCAGTCTCGGGCATTTTCCAGAAGCAAATAAGTTTATAAACACTGAAAGAAGTCAAAGAACTAAAAGTAACATATACCATGGTTTGGCTAACAGCAGGAGATGATGTCATTCCATGCGCCTGAGGACGGGACACCTGAAATCAGAAAAAAGAATAATCTGTAAATGGTCCTGTTCGTATGTTTCAGCCACAACTTTTGTCACTAGAGTCATATATTACAGTAACTCTACATAAATATACAGTCATATGCTTTGCTATCCATTGCTTATTATGTTTAGGTGAATGTACTATTTTGTTGTTCGGTACTTTATGCTCTTTACTGCTTTCCTATTAGTTGTCATTTTTTCTTCACTGTCGTTTTTCCTTTTCATTACTACTTTGTGTTTCTTCACTTGAGCCGAGGATCTTTTGGAAATAACCTCTCTACCTCCACGAAGTAGGGGTAAGACCTGTGTACACTCTACCCTCCACAGACCCCACTTTGTTGAACTTGTAAAGGTGGATCAAGTTTTGATATGACTACCCTCTATCAATGATCACCGTTAGCTTTAGTCAATCCGTAAATATTCAACCGAATTTGTAGTAAAAATGACCTTCTCCATCATACTAAGAAACACAACAAATACACCATTTTCTTACCAACAGCTGAGCAGTACACTCATAAATCCTAATAAGGTAGATACTGGAAATCATTGTTTGGCCAATTGAAGGGCATAATTCCTAAATCGGTTAACTGTTTGTTTTTCACACACCATTTATTGATAACATAGTTATAACCTTCACTTTTTCCTCCGAAGTTACTTTTCTCAGTTCCTTTAAGAAATTAGTGGACCTAGCTCGTTAAAGTTGTTGATCAGTGCCCTATAATCTAAACTAAATTTGATGGCCTAGCAAACTGTGAACAAAACTAGTTACCAGAGGTCAGTCTCTCTGGCGTTTCCTCACATAAAGGACTACTTTCGCATCGGCTCTCTCTCGTTAGGTAATAACCGAGGCGAAAGCTGCTCACAGGGTTCAGTTAAGATGAAAGCCACCAGCATTGGTTCTGCTGTTTCCAGTGGCTTATTCTGATATTACATGTATAGAACTTTAGAAAGCAGAGTTATCAGAAAGCACTCATGATTTCAGAAAAGAAAAAAGAACAGAAATGCTAGAATGGGGACTCACAATAGGAACTCCAGGGTGCGGATAAACACCACCATGTGCATAGACTCCTGCATATGGTGTGCCATAAGGTGGCATCATAGGCTAAAAAAGGAGAATTCTAGTTAGAACTCATGTCGACGAAGCCGGATAAACTATTACCTAGCACTTCAATTAAACAACTTGCAAGAATTTAAAAGAAAGATTCAGCCTGGAAAGTACCGGCAGCGGGCCCCACATGTAAGGATGAGGAGCATGACCAGGTGCAACAGCAGAATTAACATATGGAGGTACAGCTACTCGATGACCATAATATGCCTGAAGATTTAGCAATTTACATAAAAATGTCAATAATCACTAGACCTATGGTAATAGTATCTTACAGCATGTCGGAAAATGATTAACCTGCATCGCAGCCCAATCAGGATACACATGAAGATTGCTTTGATCCTGTCAATACACCAAGAATACCAGGATGAACTTCAAAGAAGAGATTAAGACTAAAAGAGAAAACTAATATAGAGGACATTAAAAAGACACGAGCGACAGTTACTCTGAAGCATATAGAACAATACCAAACACTCTACACAAACTAAACAATACACAATTCTGTATTTGCTTACTGGTGCAGTCGAAAATGATTTCTCAGGCGTAGAAGACTTCCCATCCTCAATATTTCCCATGTGTCAGAAAGCAACTAGACACTCTACTAATTCACTGCTGAGATGATTATTTCCTTTCGGAGGTACTAACAATATCACAACTTGTTTGGGACTTGGGCGTAGTTGTTGTTGGAGGTATGCTAACCAAGATTATTATGCCAACTGCATAAAACAAAGCCCTGTCAAACAATGAGCAACAACAAAACCATCCAAAGCTGAGAAGCAAATAAGTTTTATCCATCCTAAATATTCCGTAAAAAGCATAACACATTAAATAGATAATATTTAGCTAAAGAATCTCAATTACTCCAAATGGTAAATTTATACTATGTAAAGTCTTTAAAGCTAGCCACTTTATGAAATAGTTTCTATAGCCCAAACTTTTAAGGGGTCGTTTGGTAGAGTCTGTTACAAAATATAATGCATGCATTAACTTTGTATATTACAAGTACCTTATTCAATACACTTTTTCAATCTACGTATAACTAACACTCTACACTTGGTAGTTATATATGCTACAAATACCTAATACATAAAAATCCATAATATTGCAATGCAAAGGGTTTTAATGTATGCATTAGCATGATTAAAGACACAATTGCCCTTCAAAACATTTTCCACTTCCTTGGCACCGTACTTGTACATGGTACTTTTTTAAACAAGTTATTCTTTATTAGAAATTATGTAATGTATATTATTTCTAATATGCCAAATCAAATACTGCATAAAAAATAATCATAATACAACTAATGCAAGCATAACTAATACCAACATTACTAATACACCATATTCAGGATTATTCTTATACATCCTACCAAATGACACCTAAATTTTAACACAGAATTTAACTGATTGCATCCATCCCTGTCAGTATAGTTCTTACTGTTATATTTTTCAAACCTTCAAGAAATTAATTCTGTATCATCACCCCCAGCCATTCTCTCTTGACGCCACTGTCCTTTCAAAATTAACTCATTTTCTTACAGGGGCATAATCGTCCATTCATAGTCCTCACACAAAACCAAGTAAAGAGACAAACTTCACAAAAAAAATTGAGCCTATAGAATTACATAGGATGAAATGACAATCTAGTCCTCCTCAACCCACCTAAATTACCACTAGAAAATATCAATATTCAAACAAAGGAAGAATAAAACATAACAATTTTTCTTAATTTCTAAGCATTATTATAAGAACAGAATTATCCTTAAACTATTGAAAATGGTATAAAATTACCCTCCGTCAACCTATTAGCTCTGAAATACCTTGACGTCTATGGAACCTTTAGGTAGAAGTCAGGGTATTTCATTTCAGAGCTAATAGGTTGACAGAGGGTAATTTTGTACCATTTCCAATAGTTCAAGTATTTTAGGTCCCCAAAAGCTCAATAACTCAAATCTCTTATTTTTCAACAGAGATCAAACTTAAATTCAGCTTCATAATTCAAAACTTTTCACGAAAACCATAAATCGAAATTTGAACATACCTTAAATTGATATTTAATTGATGGAATTTTGCAGTTTTTGTCTCAAACTTTCTGCATTTTGTATCTACTTTCTCTTTTTCTAGATAGAATAATAAAATATGGAGTACATATTATATAAAAGAAAATAGCAGAGATAAGAAGAGAGAGAGAGAGAGTAGAAAGAGAAAGAGACTGATTTGTTGAAGAAGAAGAAAGAAAGAGATGGAGATCCACGTCACCAAACACGTGTACGTATCTAAAATCAGCTTATTCGCTGAGTGGTTGAGCTGGCGTTTTTGAAATTCGTGTATTTTATTTTAAATAAATTAACTACGTCACTTTTTATCTCTGACGTGTCATTTGCCTACATGATTTACGCGTCTCTGGCGTGGCGTCCAGTTTTATTGGCCAATTAATTAATTACTCCGCCTATTTTTATTTGTCCATTTCCCATAATAAAAAGATAATTTTATTATATCACCTCTATTTATTATAAATCTAGTATTTAGTACTCCCTCCGTCTCAATTTATGTGATACTTTTTGGATTTTGAGATTTAAATAAGTTTATCTTTGATAGCAAGTTTTTCATATATCTTTTGAATTTTTTGAATCGTCAATTATTATGACTTATAGTATTTTTTATATAGTTTAAAAATATATAAATTTTATTTCAAAAATTTCATGCGCAAATTTTCAGTCAAATTTAAATTGTTTGACTATCAAAAAATGAAAAATATCATTTAAATTGTGACAAAACAATAATAAAAATAAAATAAATGAAAATCACCTCTTTATTTTTTAAACTAAAATTGAAGAGGGTGATCTGTTTTTGTGTCTGACTCTGACGTGGTCTGTTTTCCGCAAATTACTTAAAACATATTGAAAATTTAAGCAGATTGGATAATTTATTTCAAATCCGCCAATTATGCATTTGATTTGAAATGGAAATAAAAAGTGTAGACGTAAATATCTGACCAATATGGATTGCGATGTAATAGTAGACTGTTTCATCCTTAATCAGAAGTCTTGAATTTGAGTTTTATATATGAAGAAAATCTTGTTCAGAGTGCTATCTTCAACTGAAATCTTACGGTTCGCGATTCGATTTTAGTTCGAAATCCATTGTGAACTCTGAGTAAAAAATAAAAAATAAAAAAAATATCTGCAAAAGTAGTGGAATACACATGCAGGTCATTGTTAGGGTTTTGTCCTGATTTTCTTACCATAATTTAAGATTTATTTTTCCTTAAAGAAAAGACAAAACATTACCATAAATGTTTTTACTTTCTTGAAAGGAAAATATAATATTCTTTCATATTTGGTTTATTTTCTCCTTTTAGGACTCTTTTTCTAGTAAGAAAAGGTTTTAGGGCTCTATAAATATAGGTTTGTTTCTTCTAACACATCACAATTACATCCACAATGTAGTCGTTTAAGAGTCTTGTTTATGGGGAGATTTATTCTCTCTAAAGTTTCAATGTTTTTCTTTATATTAGTTTTGATATAATAATATTTTGATTTTTAGTATAAGTTTTTGTTATCTGATTTATCAACTATATGATTTGTAAATTGTAAACTTCCGCATGACGCTCTAATCACCCTTCATAACCCAACAGTCATTTCATGCTACAACCAATCTGCATGATCCATTAGATTAGGTTAGTAACAAATTTTAAATTTCTAATAGTCCACCTAACTTAATGTGAATTTTTGTTTTTACAACAACAACAAACAACATACATACAGGCTAATCATATAAAGGTGAAAAAAAATCATCTAAAGTTAAATCTGAGGAGAGTGGTGTATCTATAAATTTATTTTTATCCTATAGAGATATAAAGATCGTTATTGATATATCCTTAATTTTTTTATTTTTGATTCGTTCATATATATATATATATATATATATATTGGTGTCATGTATAAAGAAATAATATAAAATTGACATAGAAGAGGTAATTTAAGTGGTGGAATAATTAATAATCATATTTAATTATTAAATTTCACAACTTAAACGATAAAATGTATATGATTAACCTAATCGAAGATCAAATATCTTTAATCGAATATTATTAAAATTAAAATTTATCAATTGAAGGATTGAATATGTTATTAAAGTCTCCAGACTGTTAAATACTTCCTTAATAATTCATTGGTTTTATGTTATTCTTTTAGTCAACTCTCAAAGCCTGATATATGTTTATATTTAGTATCGATTTAGCATAGAAGTACTTATTTTATTTTATCAAAATAATTTATAACTTATTTGAGTTCACAAATTTAAAACTCTTTATTTATCTTTTAAATTTTATAACGAATCAAACATAATCATATAAATTAATATAAAAAAAGGAACATGGGTATGTCGCGGCTTTCTCAAAAAATCCCCACAAGAAAATCAGAGTGGGGCCTAAAGCTCGATTAGGCTGTAAATATGGATAAACAAAATATTATAATATCTTAAGACGTTATATTGATAAATCACATATTTTTTTATAAATAATTTTTCAATTATAAATTTTTAAAGATATATAATTTTATAAAAATTGATTAGATAATAATAATGATAACTAATTATTATTTAGTTTAATCATTTTACACAATAATCTTTTTACAATAATCTTTTTACGTCGAGCATAACTCTTTTTTTTTTTATAAATCTCTTTTAACACGCACTTGAGAGGTGGGCCCCTCTTCTAAGCCCATTGTTTTGCTTGTATAAATCCTGATGGGCAAAATGATGTGTTTCACCAATAACTTATCTTCTTTCTTTCCTAATATAAAATTTTCTTCATAATTCAAGCATCTCTACCAAAGTATTATAGAACATAAGATAGTCGGAATTATCATGATACACGTGTAAAATATGTACACTTAACTAATAAATTTATAAGCTTGATGCATGGTGTAAATTTCTCATTTTTCTATATATGTCCGGATTTTTTGGGGGAAACTAAGCAAATATCCATAAAAAGTAAAATAATTACAAGCATATACCCATTTACGTTCATACCCACTAAATAATTATAATATATACCCCAAACTAATTTCGCTTAACTAATATTAAATCAGTATCATATAGGGGTGGGCATAATTACCGAAAAAAACCAAAACCAACCGAACTAATTTGGTTTTTCGGTTCGGTATTGATGTTATTTTTTTAAAAGTTCAGTTCTTCGATTCAGTGTTAGGTGTAAGGGTCTCTGAATTTCGGTGCACCGAAGAACCAAACTTTTATTAAAAAAAATTAAAAATAATATATATATATATATATATATATATATATATACCGATTTAGTATCAGTTAAGCGAAATTAGTTGGGGGTATATAGTGTAATTATTTAGTGGGGTATGAATGTAAAGATATATATGCTTGTAATTATTTTGCTTTTATGAGGGTATTTACTTAGTTTCTCCTTTTTTTAAGAGTAAACTTTAGGTTTAGCAAACATATAAAATCATATTTGTATGTTATAGCTATAGTTTGCATAATTGCGCTCCATAACAAATTTTATATTTGCTATGGAGCATCAAATTTGTATAAATCGCAGGCAAACATTCGTTTGTATAAAAGCGCAGCGATTGTATATGTATATCAGTTATATAATTGTATATATGTAACTAATATGTATATGTATCAATGATTGTCTTTGTATATCTGCATAAAATTTGAATTTGTATACAATTGAATCAAAATAAAACATTTGTATATCAAATCTCTCCCTCGCATTATACAACACAAATTATACATTGTAATTTGTATAATTTGTGTTTGTATAAAATGTGAAAGAGAGAAAGACAAAAGAGAACTGGTAGGGGAAGATTTGTATTTGTATAGTTATAAATGTAGAGGACGAATATATATATATATATATATATTTATATTTGTATATAAAATTTTCTCTCGTTTTATACAAACACAAACACAATTTATACATTTGTGTTTGTATATATAAAGTGAGAGAGGCGAGAGAGAGTGGCAAGCGAGATCAGGGAGAGTCGCGAGCAAGATTCTCTGGGGAAAGAGGCGAATGGCAAGAATTTGCTACGAATTAAAATTAAATGAAACTGTGGTTATAACATTTAATTTGAATTAATAGTTTGCTATTTTATACAATTCTCTTTTTTAAAGCATTGGGCTCTAGCCATTAACCAATTGGGCTGAAAGGATACCCGTACTCAACAATAATAGGGAAAAAAACATAAGTAGACACTTTTTTATAAATAATTACATATATATGGCCTTATTCAGTGAATAACAATTATGACATATTTAATATTTACTTCTATAGCCTTTTTACATTCTGAATAGATCATGGGTAAGATAAAGTAGATATTCAAGGTACCACAACTCTGCAGTCCTTTATTTATGCTAACAATAACTACATAGATACATAATTATCCGAGTCGAAGGGCATTGTTGCAAACCTTGGAAACTACCGTTCAAATCTTAATAGCGACAAAAATCAAGGTAGCTTATTCCATATGTTTAAGATCGGTGACACAAACAGAGGAACTAGAATTATATATGCCATAGAAGATAAGTTTACTGGAGGTTTGAACTCCTTTACCAAATTAATTAGTTTGGGTCGATGATTGTTAGATATATCTAGCAGTTACAACACTTCTACAATTAAGGTACAAACTCCAGCAGATGCCAACATTGGTACTAAAGCAGCATTACGCCAGATGCTGCAGGGTAGGAATAATATTCCTCACTTATCACGTAAGAAACCAATAACTTAATTAAATTAAACAAAGAACTGTACTGGTTCAAAACTTAAATCATAATACCAACCTAACTAGGAAAGATCAATGAATCAAACACACACAATGGACAAGTCTTAAATTCCTATTCCTCTTAATTTCATAAGACATAAGCTAATTATTATAACGCTTTACACGACGATCCATTATTTTCATTATTCCTGACAATTAAGATTCACTAGTAATATGTTTCTCTAGTTTCATCTTGCCATACTTCCACAACAACGAGCCAAACTTAATGCGATGTGTAGTGACATCACATTCATTGTCAACCACATTACTACCACATATGAATCTTTCCGCAATAGATTTTCCTTTTTTGATCTCCTCTAACTTTCTCCTTCTCAGGTACTCCTTTGACCTCTCCTCATTTCGTCGATCAACAACACTATGATCAAC